GCCATAGGAAGCTAACTAGTTATTAATAAGAGCAGAGAGAAAATTGGGAATCAGACACTAAGTCTAATAAAATAGAGAGCTGAATCGGACATTAAGCCTGATTTACTAGGAAGGTGCAGTATTCACAAGCTCCCCAGGGGATTGGCACATCCTCTGCTAAAGGGCCGTCATCCCCAAACAGTCATTCCCTCAGCCTGCAGGAAGAAACCCCTGGGTTGCAACCCCTGGGCTGGGAGGGAGGAATAAACCGTAAAGGGGAAATTCCTTTGCTAGGTGCATGCACAGTAGAAACCAGACGGCAAGGCACAATTTTGAGACGTGCACAATAGGAGCCAAAATGGCGACATAAAGTGGCAGAGTGTAGCCTGAAAAGCCTGGGTAAGAGGCTGGATTGGAATGGCGGATGACCCAGCACAAGCCTGGGAAGAGGTTGGTCAGTTTAAAGAAAGCCTGCTCTTTCCCAAGCCCAAGGTAATATAATCAAAGCTTAACAAAGTTAGCTTTTGCTAGCACACGCTCGTTCATTCACGGCGCTCCCTCCCCCTAGCAGCTGTGGGGGCCTAGCAGCCACATGGGCCCAAGTGCAGCGCCAGCCATGGCCAGGGTGCCATTGGGTCTTGGCAGCTGATGTGCAGTTGCCGAAAAGAGACGCAGAGAAGTTCTGCATCTCTGGCCCCTGATCCTCCTGGGCTTGATGAGGACAAGCATGGACTTTGCGGCCCTAGAGGCTGGACTTCCCCACAGCAAAAGGGAGCTTATCCACCTGGTTGTGGATGAGACCAGGCACCTGGGGGACAGTCCTTTATTTTTGCTCCAATAAATCTTACCACTACACCTCATCTTCCTTTGTGTGGGACCCAAAATGCTTTTCCCATGACTCCATGGAACAACCTTATTTGCAACAGCACCCCTTACTAGCTGTGGTCTTAGGATTCTTGGCCTCTTTCTACCTCAATTTCTGCAAAATGGAGATAATATTAGAACAACCTCATAAAATTTGAGGATTAAGTGAATTACATGACATGTAGAGAACAGAGCCTGGCATGAGTAAGCGTTATATATGTTAGCTATTATTTGCCAGGTTCCACATACACATTGTACAATTTAATCTTTACAGTAACCCCGTGAGGCAGGTAGTCTCAGTCCCAATTTGACAAACGAGGACCTAGGGTCAGAGAGGTTAAATATCTCCCCCAGGGTTCCAGAGCTAGTGAGTGACACAGCTGGGTGCACGCAGTGCTTTCCACGACTGCCTCCTCTTGATGAGGAGCCAGGTGGCCGTCTGGGGAGGGGAGGGACAGGCCATGGGCAGAAGGACAGCCAAACCCGCCCCACCCCCACCCGCAGACAGCGCAGATCTTACCACCACTTCTGTCTACTTCAACTGCAGACTGTTTTTTGATTGACATTATGAAATTTAAGTATGATTTTTTAAAAAAGAAAAGCCAGCATGGGCTAAATGTTAGAGAGTGTCACTTAGACTAGCCATACTTAAAAGTCACCTCACATAAGGTGCCACAAGCACTTAGGTGAAATCTGTGACATATGCTACAGATTTAGTTTCTCACAGGATCTAAAACCAGCATTTGTTGGGAAATAACAAGAATATGCTGACTACAGTCTGGATTACCCGCGTTCCTATGCCTTTTGCTTATTCTGGATGAGACTAAACCCTCATTGCCGTGGTTTCTAGGGTGACAGTATATGGCAGGGATTTGTAGACACCACAGAATGTTTCAAACTTCAAGTCACCCTCAGCCACATCTTGGTTTATACCATGAGAAAATCAGATTTCATTGGCTGAGTTCATAAGTGGGGTATAAGTCAGATCAAAGTGGGCCCTTGGTGGCTTTAGATGATCTATGAGGTAATCTCAATCAGATGCTCTTCAGGGGGATATAACCTGGAAACACACAGCTTTATTCGTTCTCACATAGGGGAAATGTCCCAGTTTTTCAAAATATGAAAAAAAGTTGCGTTGTCTTTACAGTAGATTGATCAATACGTATTGAGGGGAGAGGAGAATTTTGGGGCTCTTTAATTAGAATTTTTATTTTTTGGCTTCTCCATAAGTTTTTATTAATTCACCAATTCCCTGTAGCTCAAGAGATGCTAATTAATTCAAGAAGCCATAATAGCTAATCACTGGCTAAATAAATCTAAAATGGAGAGAGTCTGTCACTGGAGATACCACTGCTCATTTTAATTAAAATCACCAATTTGTAAAGTAATGTAAATAAGGGTTATTGCATCCTTCTACTCCAGGAAGTATTAACCCTTTGCATGGCCACCTGAGAATCCAACAGGATTTTAAAAACCAGAAATATTTGTAACCTTAAGCACAAGTTAGAATATTTATCATTCCAAGTGTGTTGTTCACCGACATCACAAAGCCACGTTGAATGAAGCTGCTTTGAAACACAACATGGAGAACGGCGAAGAGCTAGCAATTGTTGCCTTGAAAGGAACATAATCATATCCAGGACAACCAACCCCCAGTGGCTACCTTTACAAACATTGAGGCCTAAAAAGAAAGCAAATGTTTCAGGTCTGATTTTCAATTTTTAAGGAATAAATTTATGCAAATATTCATTTGTTTTATAGTTCTGCAGCTCAGAGTGATCTCCCCTTGTTAACCTTCAGTGCAACTGCTCGTAGCTATTGGAATGTCATTTGGATGAATAGAAAAGGCTACCTCCTTATTTCCTGAATAAATGGCTGGGCTTGGCCACGGTGCTCACTCTTGGAAATAGACACACCTGCACACTTAGTCAGTCAAGCCAGCCAACCCAGGAAAGCACAGTGTGTGGGCAACCACACAGTTCAAGTCACTGCTGAGTCCAAAGCTGAGCAGCCATAGGCCATAGTGTTCTTGGTGGCTTTGCCCTTGACTAAGAGAAATCCATCTTTATTGTCTTGCTAATCAGCTCAAGAGCCATTAATGATGAAGTCCTAAATCTAATTACTAATAAAATCTCAAAAGTTTTAGAGGCAAAATGAAAAAACATAGCTCACAGATACCTTCTGACCAGTGATTGCTAAGTATTTCTGTAGTTTAGTCCAAAGATCTGAAATTAGTTTAGTTTATAAAACGATATGACATCTATTAAAAGGAAGGTGAATTTGGCAAAGGAAAATTATTATCTTATCAAGAGGCTACTTCTGAATGGAGCCTCCTGGCAAAATAGAAGTCTGGTTGGGACTTGAATCAGATAAACTTGTTATGCAAATAGCTTTAGCCACAGGGGAAAGGGCTGATAATGAAATCGCTACAAAGCCAACCACACATTACAGAAGTGACAAAAAACACTGGGCAGGGTCCTCGCATATGTATGAAAAGCACTGCAGAATTTGTGTGAGCATCATGTTTAATGTATCATAACTAAGCTGTCAGGAGTCCTGCCTTGACAAATGCATAACACATATAAAGGAGTCAATCATTATTAACCACCAAAGGTTCAGAACCAAACAGGTTAATGTTTCTTTACTTTTTTTTTCTTGTCCCACAAACAGGTGTACTAATAAAATTTCAAACCTTCTTAAAATCTCTCTTGTCTTCAAATTAAGAAAGTTGGAAACCAATCTGAAAACCATTAAGCAGTATCTCGGCACCCACGTCTCCCTTCCCATCCCATGCAAACATGGTATTCATCTCTCTTTCTCTCTCTCTCCTTCACACACATACACACACACTCACAAGCATAAGCCCTGTTCCCTGTCAACACAGCTATAATCGGCCAGGCCAGACCCTTCGGACCACTGTTGGAGTCACTGAGAAGCCATACAGGTCCTTTGGTGAGTGGTGACGAGCACGGACCTAGAAAGACAGAAATCACTGACTGACTCTGTGATGGCTCAGCAGTCATATTGGGACAGAATATTGAAGGTGTTAAAGCTTTTGTCTTGTTTAATCTTTAGAGAAAACCCATTTACTTTAATACAATACACCGCAGCTCAGTCTACTGGGGAACAGAAGCAATTATCTGGTAAAACACTTTTCCTGAAATGCTCAGAGAATTATCTTCCCCACCTCAACCCCATCAATAATGAAAAGTTTATAATCTGAAGGTTTTAATCCTCCATCCTCCTTCCCTGTCCCTCCCAATACAAGCAAGCTAAGTATAAAAGCAAACCAAGGCTATCTCTTTAAATAGACATTTCTAACCCAGTGAGTATCTCTGTTTATATTTAATTAGAAATTTGAATAAGTAGAATAAAATAGTAAAGTTAAATTGCATTTGGTAGGCTGGGTAATGGCAGCCTAGGGTAGGTAGGCTCACCTACAAAACCAAAGGATATTATTTGGGAATAGTGGGCAGGTTTCAACCTAAAAATAAAAAAGTATAATAATGTTTTTAATGTTAAGAGTTACAGTCCCCCAAAATATGGTAAAAGGAGAATTCATGGTTGAGAAATCTAAGATGTAATGGTGAAAATAGGATTGGGTGGCTGAGGTCAGGAAAGAATTTATGAATACCTATAATATATAATATTTTCACTAACAAGCAATAAGAACAACTCATTAAATAAAGAGAAAATTGATAACATTTTTCCCATATCTTAAGTTAGTAATAAAGCACACAATCACTTAATTTCTATTTACTTTCCTTGGTTCATTAGAACCTTTTCAGACTTCCTCCCCTGCATTTTCAACAACTGTTTTCTATGTTTAGTCCTCCATTCTAGGATGAAGACCTTTCGAAGTCTACAGCAATCCAAAAAGAGTGCATCTGGAATTCTCAGAGTTAGGGAAACCAGAAGCGGATTGAAATGGTCACATAATAGGACTTTCTATAAAGAAAAACCAATAGTTGGGAGGAATTCTACACTGTGTTTAATCCTGAAAGTCCCAACCCCATCAACAATGTGTACCTTTATTCCCAAATCCATCCAAGCAATACAATGCTTGGCTTAACATAAGCATACTTTGAAAAAGAAGCCAATCTTTGATGAGTCAAGTCACATCTTAGAGGCATCATGGAAGCTTGGTATAGGGAGGCATTTTGTGAATATGTAATGGGTTTTTCTAGACCAACAGTTTAGAGAAGGTCAATCAAGGGCATCTGTGTGCAGCAATGGAGTGAAAAGGAAAACTCTGGATCCAGGCTTGGCCTGCAAAACTAATGGAACAATAGCCATCATATTTCTCTCCCTGGGCTGATCTGAAACATGTTCTCAGCCACTACGGTTCCATTAGCTCTCTAGTTCCCTCTACCTCCCCCTTCAGCTCTCAGATCTCAGGAGGTGGCTCTTCCTCTGCTCCTACATGAGCATCATCCCTTCTGCTATACCTGTTGTTCCTCTCAACATTGCCTAACATCACCGCCCTTGACTTGTGACTATTGCATTCTGCAGTCATTGCAGGAACATCGGAGTGGGGACAGAGGTGGGGAGGAAATGTCCTCCACCCCTGGCCTTAAATTTTACAGTCACATTTCAACATGGCCTTGCTTGGTTGACTGCCCCTCTCTCCTGAGGAAGATGACACAAACCCAGGAGGGACTGAACAGGGGACTCTGAATTATGTTACATTTGAAGTGAAAGTGAAATGTTCTTTATACAAAACCCTTGGGGCCACATATGTTTTGGAATTCAGAATTTTATCAAATTTTAGAAAAGTAAACCAGTGCATTTAATGTATGTTATGTAACATCCCCAGCAGGATCTGGGGCAGCACACTGCAATCCAACACATTAATATATCTGCAACAATTCACATGAATATTCACACTGAGTGAGATAAATAACAACTATAAATAACCCTACTTCAGTTTGGGTCATGTGTTGCCACCAAATAAGTTTACATAAGGTCAGGGCTTGCAGCTCAATGACTCAAGTACAAAAAAAGCTTCATTTTTCAGAGCTCTTTGGAGTTTGGAACTGTAGACAAGGGACTGTTGATCTGTATTGTGACTGATTAAAGAAGTTGATCAAGAGACCCAGTTGGCTTCACTGCCCTGCCTTTGTGGAAGCACACAGACATATATGTTAGGGAAATCTGTGTTAACCCTTCCCTATTAAAAGTTTCCCAGCTCTTTCAGTCACTTTTTTTTCCTTCCATGTCCTCTGAACACCTTGTTTGATATGCTAGACACTGAGGGCACCTCTTCTCAGCTCCTGTGCCTGGATACGGCTTGCCATGCCTGGCCTCAATTCCTGCCCTCACAGTTCACCAGGCCCTGAGCTCAGGGGCACATAGTCCCCTCCAGCATACTGAGCATTTCCCTCAGACTTGGGACCAGGGTAGTCCTCTGCCAGGGGACTGGCCAAAAGCCCATGTTCCCAGCACTGAGTCATCACCCCTTGGTGATGATGTTGGTTCTGCTCCTTAGTCCCATTCAATTTTGCCTACCTCCTGGTAACACAGCTCCCACCAGGTATATCACCCATCAGCTGGGTTTTCACCTTGTTATGCACACTGCAAGCCCTGGCTGGGGCTCTTCACCTTGGTGCTTCAGGCCTGAGCTCCTACTTTGCCCCCTCAATCACCTTGGGAACTAGAGCCCTGCTCCCACACCACAGATCCTCGAACAAAGCCCAGCTTCCTTGCCGTGAAACCTCTGTTGAAGGTTGCCACCTTCTATCTTTGTTCTGGTCCAGCAATATTTGTCCTAGGACAGAGTAGATTCTCAGATACGTGTGACCTATATGATAAGGAGAATAATCATAGCTAAGAGTCAAATGGAATTCCTTATTTTTCAAATCCTACAGAGGCATCTTCTGTCATTTACTGGAACAAATTCTGTGTAATAACGTGCTAGAAGGCCTAACAACTTCTAGCACCAAGTAAATTCCACAGCTTAGATTTCTCCAGTCACTGTTCGAGGCTTTGCTGGATAAGCAATTTTCAGTGGAAGAAATACTCACTGTGAAATAAAGTGGTTGAATTCCTCACACCATTTTTCTGGATGAAGTAAAGTAGGTGGAGGATTTCTGAAAAACAAAAGCAATTTTTTCCTTATAAAAAAGAAGTGTCCCATTAAAGACAAAACATCAACTTGTCTACTGATCTCATTCCAAATAGCTCTGATAGAATCCATTCTATTTCTTCCTGGGTGAGGATCATTAATTTGTGGTAAATTATAAAGTGTCAGCCCTTATTAATTTAGTCCTTCATTTTCATTGATTCAGGGTCTTCTATGTCCATGGCTTTTGGTAGGACCTGTGAGGATCACATAGACAGGGAACATTGCTTGTGAGGGGGTGGACACTCTAATGAGGGGCGAGATAAGCACAGGACTACTCAGATTCAGAGCTGAGTATTATTAGTGTCAGAATAAAACTATAAATCTAGTGCTACGGGCTTCAGAGAAATAGACTTTTAATTTTGCAGGATTTTCAGATCATTATATTATCATTTGAATTAATTATGTGATACATTTAAAGTATACTCGTAAATTCATCAGTCACATTTTAAACTATTTCCTATATGTCAACTTCTGCAATAAGTAGTGGAGAAAGCAAAACAGCTAAGATAATGTTCCAGACCCCAAGAGGTCTCTTAGTAGAGAGGGGCGCAGACAGCTCATATAAGTAATTACTGGAGGTCCAAGAGAACTAAAGAAGTGTAGAAGACTCTGGTAACCAGACCACTTCCTAATGAGAAGGCAAGAAAAGGGGGAAGGGAAAGGCCTTGAATGTGACTGAATATTTATCCAGAGACATTTGATTTTAAAAGAGAAGAGGCATTACCTTTGAAGGGGATCTAAGTTTTGCCACCCCAAAATATGCCTTTTGGGATATTGATTTTGAGCTGTTATTAAGAATCAAAAGACTCAGAAAGAACCCTTGACCCCCTGCCTTTACCTGCCTAAAGAAATTCTTCTGCAAGGAAGAGAGCATCACCTGACACCATACAATAAACTAAATGGGGCAGATGGGAGAAATCTAGCAAAACCTGCTTGTTGAACTTCCTCTGTGCCCAACTGTTTCTGGGTGGCCCAATAAAAATTTACTTACCACATGTTTGCTCTTTCTCATCCACCTATAAATTACATGCTTTCTCTTTAACATGCCAGACCCCTTCCCCATCTCCTCTGTCAAGAACGGCATGTGAGCCTCAACTGCCCAGTGCCTCCTTGGGTCTCATATTCCTGTGGCGCCTCCACATGTACATCCGTAATGTGTTTCAGACACTTTCTCTTATTAATCTGTCTCTGTTAATATGATTATTAGCCCAGTTAGAAGAATTTAGAAGGTAGAAGGAAAGTTTTTCCCTTTTTTTGTACCCCCACCCCTTTCATTGGTAAGGTTTTTTTTCTAGCCATTAATGAAAATAGGGACTTGTGGGCAAGTCAAGTTCAGGAAATGAAGAAAGTTACATTTCTACACACCTGAATTATGACTATAAATTTTAAACCTATTATATGTGATCTTTGTTTTCACCTGAGTTCTAACTGCTTCCTAAAGCCATCAATTGCCCAGTTTCAATAGGGAGAAAACTGAGAGCAATAGGAATAACCAGAAATAAAAACTGTATCAGGTAATATGATTGCAAGTTGCCTATCAATAACCATTCTTTCTCATTTCTTATGATACAACTTTTATTCTGGCATAATGCTGCTACATAAAAACTACATTTCCTTGAATTCCTTAAAGCTAGATATGGCCATGTGACTGAGTTCTGCACAATGACATATAAGTAAAATTGTTCTATGGTGTTTCCAGAAAGTCTTCTCAAAAGAAAGGAGACATGCCATATTTCTTCTTTCCCTTCTCTGCTTCCTGGAGCATGAATGTGATGGCTGGTGCTTGAGCAGCAATTTTGGACATGAGGTTAACTTGAAAATGAAAGCCATGAGCCAAGGAAAGCTAAGAACATAGAGAGGAAACTAGGTTCCTGATGACACTGCAAAGCTGCCATACCAGTTCTAGACTGCTTCCCCCAGTCTTCCTCGAAGAAGAAATAAACTTCCATCTTCTTTAATCCACTCTGATATGCAATTAATCCTAATAGAGCCAAAAATATTTCAGAGTATTATCCCATCACACAAAACACAATCCGATGAGTGATATAATAGAAGCACAAGCATAAAGTTATGTGGGAGCAGAACTAAGAAGAGAATCTATCCCATGTGGGAAGTCCCAAAGACTTTATAAAGAAGATAAACTTGAGATGACCCCTAAAGAAGATTAGGTTGGATTTTTCAAGATAAAGAAGGAGAGAGAAGCCACTACAGGCTTAGAAAACACCACGTATTAAGTCACAGAGCTATAAAAAATGTCCAGTAGGTCAAAGAAAGGGAGTAGTCTGGGGGTCTAGACTGTATGAATCTCCTGAGTCTGGAGAGAGAGCGGGAGGCAAGGACAAGATGGGAAGAAAAAATGATAAGAGAAGAAGTATATGATTTCCCTGTTCTGCATGAGAATTTAATTATCCTTCAGATCATCTGACTCAAAGATGCAAAGGAAAATTATCAGTGTGCTCAGCTAGAAAGAGTAGCAGTGGGAGGTTGCCCTTCAGTTATTCTGGAAGCTGCCTCTTTATCTCATTCATTCTCTTCAAAAATATTTGTCTTCATCTTTACCTAGAATTTTTTAAATAATAGAAGTATGATCATATAACTTCTGCTTCAATACTAGTGGTGCTGACCTGTTCTTACTAGCTCCAGTGTTTGAGGCTGCCTCTGCGTGCACAGCCTCCCAGCTCACCCCTGTGGGTGTCAGTGTGGCACCTCTCGGTAAGCAGGTTGTCCAAGGTCATCTCTATAGCCTATTCCAGGACTTGAACCTTTCTTGCTCTTCTCAGGTGTTCTGCTCATTCTGTTCTCACTAAGGCCAGTTTCACAAAGAAGAGCTACTTAAGCAATTTGCTGTCTAATAGACGTAACACCCCCCCAAAGCAGTTAACCATGACCACTTGTAGACAGAGTGTACAGACTTGATTAAAACCACCCCAGTAGGCTTGACATTGGCCAGCTGAGCATGGAGAGACAGCCCTCTGCTGCAATTAGAGAATGACCTGGCAAGGATCCACTGGGGAGACTGATGGCCAGTGTCCACTCTCGTGTAGAGAACACTGTGCCTTCCTGTTTTCAGGCCCTACAGACAGGGGCTGTCATTTACGTGTCGGCCAAACCTCTGCAGCAGGACACAGAGGAGAACAACAGCAAATCACCGCTCACCTAGACCATTGCCAGTGCCTGATGGCTTCACATGAACCCCACACAGGGAACATCTTTGAAGCTCGGCATTACAGGAATTTGGGGTTAAATTTTTTTTTATTGATTCTAGAGAGAAGGGAAGGGAGGGAGAGAAATATCAATGTGAGAGAGAAACATCAAACAGTTGCCTCCTGCACACACCTCCACTGGGTACCAAAGTGCAACCTAGGCATGTGCCCTGACCAGGAATTGAACCGGTGACCTTTCAGTTTGCAGGATGGCACCCAACCAACTGAGCAACACTGGTCAGGGCAGGAATTTGCTTTTTAGAGAAGCTCATTTGACCTTGTAGACGCCTGCACTTTTCTGGAGTCCATCTATCATACTTAAGTTCAGTAAATTGAGATCTTCGAGAATCCAAAGGATTTAGAGTACATTATTTCAACTGGCAATATAAATTCTAGTTCTCCCACCATCCAGGAAAACCACCAATTAGCAACAATGGTACTTTCTGCCTTCCTTCAAAGCTACAGATACAAGCTGCAACCCTGCCCAGAGGATCTCTCTCTAAACGGAGGTGAGAAGCTTTGTATTGAGTATGATGGGAGAGTCAGTGCATAGCTATGATTCAGAGGCAGGCAGGCATCACTCGCTATGTGTATGGATGCTGAGAGCCTACAGGATGTATGGCTGGTGAGTGGATGGAAGACCTATTAATCTGAATAGCCAGCTCTCAACATACAAAAGCAATGTAGAAAAAAGATCAGTCAGAGAAGAAAAATGACTATATTAGATTTGAGTTTTATCTGCCTGAATTTTACTCCTCTGCTTTGGACCCAAAATTCAGTTTTTATAAAGATCTCCTGCACACAGATAATGTTCAAGCTATATGAGGCTAGAAGCAGAGGGTAATGGTGAAGAGAGCCCTGAACATATTACATGCCCATGACTGATATCACAACCCTAAGTCCAGCAAATACGATGGAGACAAAGTTAACCTTCTTCCCCACAAATGTCTGTGAAATGAAATGATTTGCTGAGCAATCAAACTGAAGACATTTTAGTTCCTGAAATAGGGAAGCAGATGATTGGACCTAGGTGGGTACCTGGCCTCAGGACAGCCAATCCTAATTTAATTTTGTGACTACAGTGTGACTTAAAATAAGCCGGTCAATCTGACTCTCTCTAGAAAGTACTTTTTTCCATTTTGAACTAAAAACAAACAAAACGAAATAGGAGAGAATAGGCAGTTTAGTGATGAGAGCTGAAGCCGAGAGATCCATGATGAGAACTCAGACAGGGGAGGCCACAGGGCACAGTGTGCAAGCTGAAATTTCAGGAAGCAGAAGCTATGAGCAGGCAGAAAACCAGGGAATAAAGAGAAAATAGGCCAGGTGGAGTAGGAAGAAAGCGATGTGTCACCATGCAGCGACCCTGTGATGGGACACCATATAGGTTATTCGACTCTTACTTTTCAGAGCACTTCCCCTCCGGTGCACCTAGAATGCTCTGGGCCCCAGCACTCTGTCTAAGCCCTATTCTCTGGGCAAGCTGCACACTCACTAAGGGCTCACTATATGTTGAAGCCTTCCTAATTTGTACCTCCTGCCTCAATTTCTTCTTTTGGGCTCGGATATCTTACTACTTACTAGATTGTTCTCTTCTGATTTCCCAGGAGCACATTAAAGTCCGCATGTTCAAAACCAAACTCATCCTCCTGCCCTCAAGCTGCATCCACCTGGCTGTTGAAGTCAGAAACTTGGGTTCTACCTTCTCCCCCTTAACCCCACATCCAACTGGAGAAGGCAGAATAATGGGTCCCCCAAGAAG